ATGGGATCCTGGCAGGGCTGCTTTCAGTTTGAGCAAGACACAAATGGCGTGGTAGGGCGGGACTAATTTAGGTTCCCGCCCATAGACTTAGTTCTCAATCAGGTCCGTTACATTCCTATAAAAATACCGAGTGCGGCAGAACGCAGCACTCTTGGATTCTTCTTCTTATTGTTTGCGATATGTCTGGTCGCGGCAAAGGCGGGAAGGGCTTGGGCAAGGGCGGCGCCAAGCGCCACCGCAAGGTGCTGCGCGACAACATCCAGGGCATCACCAAGCCGGCCATCCGCCGCCTGGCCCGGCGCGGCGGCGTCAAGCGCATCTCCGGCCTCATCTACGAGGAGACCCGCGGGGTGCTCCACGTGTTCCTGGAGAACGTGATCCGGGACGCCGTCACCTACACCGAGCACGCCAAGCGCAAGACGGTCACGGCCATGGACGTGGTGTACGCGCTCAAGCGCCAGGGCCGCACCCTCTACGGCTTCGGCGGCTGAGCGACCCCGTCCCGGCTGTTCTCGACCAAAGGCCCTTTTCAGGGCCGCCCACCTTCCAACAAAAGAGCTGTTACAGCCGCAAGATGGCGCTTGGTTTCGTTTTCTGATCCCCCTCCGGCGAACGCTGCCGGTCTGGTCCCTGGGCCTGCGCTCTGGCCATCCTGCTCTGCGCGACCCGGAACATGGCGGACCACGTGTACTCGGGACAAAGGGAAGGGGGCGGGATAGAACCGGATTGGCACCTGATTCAGATAAATTGCTTTGTAAACTGCTGGTAGTGCGGTTGAGTTACTGAGCTCTTCAGGTGTCGCCAGGGTGAGGGGGTGCGGGCCGGAGCAGGCACCCCAGTGCTCCCTGTCTCGGAAGCTGCAGAGACGCACCACTTTGGACAGCCGTGGGTGCGCATTACCGCCCGTCAGCCTATAGTAAGGTATTTTAGTGTACCTCCAGTTCAGGCAGTGTGGGAATTTACATGACTTCTCTCATGACACAGCGTCTTCCTCATCGTCTTCTGGGCCGGTGGGGTAGCCGTAGGCCTGTGTAGGCCTGTGTTCTCGGTTCTTCCTTGAAGATTTCCCTTACCTGACAGCAGTTTCCACTGCCCTGGCCACCCTAATGTAACCACCAGCAGTGCTATGTGTAAGGTCCCATTGTACCCAGGACACCCCTGGCTGCCTCCTGTCCAGGTGTGCGAGTCAGCCATCTTCCCACCCTACAGAGAGTACCCCAGGCCAGGGCAGCCACCAGCCTGCACCATTTACGCAAACACAGATGAGAAGCTTTTCTGGGTGGAGTCTGCAGGAGGAAGCCCCAGTTCCCTGTGCTAACACATCCGCGCACCTGAGCCCCCCCAGCGTGGATGTCTGTAGCTCCACTGAGTTCCGGCGTCATGCTCCCAGCTTTCTCTACGGCAATCCTTCACATGCACTCTCACAGCCTCCGTCTGCGTGTGCGTGTGCGTGTGCGTGTGGGTAAGGGGCCTGTTGCCTTTGTGAGGCCTTTGAGTCTCAGGCACAATCAGAACCTTGGGTTCCCTGATGCTCAAGTGCGTGCCCCACAGGCCCCAGCCCGACTTCGGAATTCCCTTTGCGACTTCCTGAGAAGTCCGAACACTCTGCTTGGTCTTAAATATTGCGCAGGTCAAGAGACAAGCATGCCTGGCCTTGGTAATCTTCGCAGTAAGCAGAGTTATTTTTTCAGGGCACCCCAGTGACCACACGCAGAGCCCTCACTGCCCACTGGCGATCAGAAGGCTACCAGATCCAGGTCCCGCGGGTGCTCTGTCTGGAGCCCTGTCCCCAAAATGGACCCGAGACACTGTCTCACTCTGGACCTGCCTGCAAGGGGCTGGCACCAAGGAAGCTGCACCGGGACCAAGGACGACCGCATAGACACTGTCCTGGGAGACCCCGGGATTCCTGCCCTGCCCTGGCTGCCGCATCCCTGACTTAGGTTTGGAAGCCCTGCCTGCCCCTCAGGGGTGGAGAGGGCAGTGAGAGCCTGGGTGCGGCCGTTCTCTGGGTAGCACCCTCCCATAATAACGTCCTCCTCGGTGCAAACTCGGGGTCTCAGAACCCGACTTCCCGTGGCCGTGCACTTGTCCACGGGCACACTCCTGACACTCACTCCACCTAGGCAGGGTCTGCTCCCCCTGGACGGCCGTCCTTTCCCGCTTCCTACGCAAGAGCGCAAGAGCGTCTGTGAGAGGCCACCGCACCACCTCTCAGGACCTTTACCTCTTTCTTCTTAAGGTTTTGGCCATGGGGTGCATGCACTTGCCAGAGACAGACACTGAGCAGAAAGTGAAATGTCACCCCCCCGGGAGGATGGCCACGCCACAGTCCCTTCTCTGTTCTCTCCCCAGGATTTTGGACACGTGCACGCACACACGCCTGGGACCATTTTCGAGATGCCAGTCCAGGACTTGACCTGTGTTTAGCCATGTGTCCAGCACCCTCACAGCCCCACCATCTGCTGGCCCTCAACACCTGGGGACCACTGTTGGTAATGAAAGCAAGTTAATGAGCCCCAACCCGCCTATGAAAAATAACACGGGGTGGAACATGGTAAACAGAAATGATCGGATTAGCAGCATCCCATGCAATAATTGAAAATACTGTGAAAATTTTGGTGTCTGGCATGTGTGCTTTGTTTCGTTGTTACTGTGGAACTTGGAAGGCAAAATAATTTACCTTTGGTCCGCTTACTTTGTGCATAAATTTGGAGGTACTCAGGCTAGAGCGTGGCCCCACCCAGATCAGAAGTCCCAGTCCGCGGCCTCCCCACACTGAGTGTGCTCACATCGGCCACACGGCGAGCAGGTACCCTCTCGGGGTTGGAGCCTCTGCTTCTGCCGGGCAGATGTCAGAAGGGCCAACTGTGCGGTGGGGGCGGCCCTGCCCTCCAGAGGAGTCGTCCAGGGCTGGGACCAGCAGAGGCAGCTGTGCGTGGGCAGCGCCAGGCCAGCGCATGGTGGGGGCCCCTGGGCAGCGTCTCAGGCGTGGCTCTAACTGACGCACCAACCCTGCTTCCGGGCCGCCATCTCCATAATCACCCCTTTGCTGTGTGCAGTTAACCAGGAACAGGCCACTGAGAGCTGAGGTCCACTGTTCTTTAACAAAACGGGCAGAAACCTTTACCTGTTTTCTCGCAGTTTTGTGACTTTCGGGACAACTTTGGAAATTGTTTCAAAGCAGTGGTGATAGAAGACCGAAGGTCTGCCCCAGTGACAGACAGAGGAGTGCCCACCCCCAGGAGGCTCACCCTGCCCTGCAGATCCTGCGACCCGGCCTCCTCACCCAGAGAGGGTGCAGATGTGGGTAAATTCAGATTGGGAGTAGGTGAGTCGCGCTGCCTGAGGGGTGCAGTGCAGCCCCGAGGTCCTTACAGGTAGACACAGGTGGGAGCCGGAGCAGACAGTGACACAGGACGTTGAGACTGCACTTTGGAAAGAGGACGGGCTGCACTGACAGCCCTTTTATTCCCGCAACGCCAGGACGTCCGCTCCCCTGCCTCGCGTGGATCTGCCAGCCCAGGACACACGGCCTGGCTCGGTCAGACTCCAGCTCTCCGGGGACAGCTCTTCGGAGGGCCCTCCCTGGCCGCCCCATCTGAAAGGTCAGCCACCCTGGTGCTGACACGCCTGTTCTGTCCCACCAGCAGCTCATCAGTACAACCGCCAGCTCCAGAGCCTCCGTTCTCTGCTTTCAGGGCACAAATGCCCTGTGAGGGGCCATGTCCACCTTCTCAGTGGTACACCTGTGCCTAGCACAGTGCCTGACACACGGGGGTGTTCAGGACAGAAGCGTGCACCAAGTGGAAAGGCCTGGAGGAGGCCTGGCTCCTCTCCCACCCACAATGGAGTGGTAAGATCAGGCTCGAGACTTTGACTCGCAGTGCCGCATACGCACGGTGAGAGCTAGCCCATTTCCCGTGGAGAAACAGCTTCAGATCCTTGCAGTCGGGGCTGGGACTGAGCCAGTGAGCCGGGGGACGGATCCCAGCTAGGCAGAAGTTGGCCCTCTCACCACACATGCAGGCCGACGCCACCAGGTGGAAGCCGCCACCTGTCTCCAGGGCGTCCAGGTGAAAGGTCACAATTCCACACGAAGCAGCCATGATGGCTGACAGGCTCACCACTTACACCAGTGTGGCCGTGAGACTGAAGACATCGGGTCAGGTCTGATGTGCCACTCTCAGGAACGAGTCCGCCTGGAACAGATGCCAGCCATCGCTCCATGTCCCCTACCTGGAGACCCTGGAGCCTCACCCTAGCAGGGCAACTTTAACTCCCTCACAGGTGCAGTGTACACATCCCCGCTACGGCACGGCCCTTTGCAAAAAGCAGAGGTTGAAGAGCACCTACACCCGCTCCTGACCTCAGCGTGTCAACTACCAAGGAATGTAGACTACAGCCCATCAGGAAACAGGTGCAACACATCAAGACGGTCTATTTTCGCTCCTTCCCTTACAGTACCGTTGAAAGCTGTCTACCAGGAGGATGTGAAAGGTAACTCCCTGCCACTAACAAAACCAAGTCATTAACCTGGGAGAGGGATAGTGCAGGAAAGTTCCAGCAATGACCAAGATGAACACCTGCAATACTGACAGGGCTGTTCCAGAGGAGCCCAGGAGAGGGCTGTGAGGTCACTGAGGGAGACGCTGAGATCAAACTCGGCCGAAAACCCGCCTGGGAGGGAGGGGGCAGACGTGGTAGTCACGGCTCCTTGGTGACAAGATGGGGGCCCTGAGAAGGGCCTTTGTTCAGGAATCGCCCAGGCACGGAAAGGGGCGCTTAGCCGCCGAAGCCGTAGAGGGTGCGGCCCTGGCGCTTGAGCGCGTACACCACGTCCATGGCCGTGACCGTCTTGCGCTTGGCGTGCTCGGTGTAGGTGACGGCGTCCCGGATCACGTTCTCCAGGAACACCTTGAGCACCCCGCGGGTCTCCTCGTAGATGAGGCCGGAGATGCGCTTGACGCCGCCGCGCCGGGCCAGGCGGCGGATGGCCGGCTTGGTGATGCCCTGGATGTTGCCGCGCAGCACCACACCCAGACATGGTAAACAGCGGACCGTTTCCCGACACTGGCAGAGTGGCTGTTGCAGTCTCTTATATAACACTAGTACGGACCTATTTGAAAACCACAAGCCTAACCGGCGGGAACCCGCACTGAGTCCCCGCCCCTCCGTTTCCTGTAACTCTGGGTCCCAAGGAACAAACAGAACTTTACTGGCACTTGGAGCTTAGGGATCTCCTAACGGAAGTCGCACATAGGTTCCAAGGAAAACACTTCATTTGTCATTTGTGTATATGTTTAGTCATTTAATATGTGTTATTGGACTAGTGGTTATAGTGAAACTGGGGAACAAGCCCAAATCCCAAGAAAAAAAAAAGACTTCACAGTCACGCCCAGGGACCCAGCTGTTTGAGAAGCCAGGCTCTCCGTTTGGATCAGAGCTGCTGCTCTCCGAGGGCCGTCCATGGAGTCTTGGGCTCATCTCTAAAAGCGATAGATACTTGTTGATAATTTACTATAATGGTGCTGGTTGGGAAAGGGAATTTTTTTTTTTTTGAGAGATTTTCACTGTAGGGTGCGTGCGCTCGCCAGACAGACAGACATAGAGACAGAAAGTGAGAAATCACCCCCCAGGGGGGATGGTCACGCCGCAATCCCTTCTCCTCCATTCTCCTCTCGGGATCTTGGGCACGCATGCACACGCGCCCGGCGTGAGTTTTAAGCCACCGGGTCCGGGACACGAACTGCGGTCGACTACGTGGGAGTCCAGCGACTTAGCCATTATGCTAACTGCTGGTTCCCAGAAAGGGAAAATTTTATTCCTACAAACAAACCGTGAACAGACAAGCAAAGCCCCACGAAAGGACTGCGGAGGAAGCAGCAGTCCCAGGGTCTTGGACCCAGTGCTGGGAGGACTGGGTGAAGGAGTGATTGCTCCCAGCTGTTGCCTGCAAACCCAGCAAAGCCATCCACACCCTAAAGCCCAAATTCTACACGAGTGCCAGAAAAAAACGTGCATTCGCTCCTAAACTGGCACTGTAAACCTGTTGGCCAACTAAGAATACTTAAGATACGTGGTGGCCTTAGAGCCTGCAAAGGGTAATGCATATTTTTGTAATGTATTAATTCTATCTTTAAAAATAAAATCTGGGGTTGGGGCTGGCAGGTGGCATGGTGGTTAAGGGTGCTGGACTCCCACATGGCCAACCACGTTTTGGGTCCTGGACCTGTCATCTTGGCTTTCTCTCTCTCACTCTGTCCTTCTCTGGTCAAAATAAAAATAAATAAATAAATAGTTAAATGAAATAACTCTTTAAAATTTTTTAAATAAAAGTTGCCACAGGGCACACATGTTCTCAAGGGAGTGTCAGAGAGCTAAAACAAGGCACCCACATGGGGAATGCTCTCTCTCACAGTCCCCTCCCTGTCCGCCTCCTCTCAGGGTTTGGGGCACACGCAGACAGGAGTCAGGCTTGTTTCTCAACCATCATGATCCAGGACACAAACCACATGGTTGACCACATGAGATCCAGCCGCCCTGACCATCTGCCACCAGTTGGACCAATAGTGGCCTTTTACCCTGTACTTCCTGGGTACTGAGCACCTGGTCCTAGCGGGCTTTACCATGCGCTTCCCGGGTACTGAGCACCTGGTCCTAGTGGGCTTTACCCTGCACTTCCTGGGTACTGAGCACCTAGTCCTAGCGGGCTTTACCCTGCACTTCCTGGGTACTGAGCACCTGGTCCTAGTGGGCTTTAACCTGCACTTCCTGGGCACTGAGCACCTGGTCCTAGTGGGCTTTACCCTGCACTTCCTGCACTGAGCACCTGGTCCTAGTGGGCTTTACCCTGCACTTCCTGCGCACTGAGCACCTGGTCCTAGCGGGCTTTACCCTGCACTTCCTGCGTACAGAGCACCTGGTCCTAGCGGGCTTTACCCTGCACTTCCTGGGCACTGAGCACCTGGTCCTAGTGGGCTTTACCCTGCACTTCCTGCACTGAGCACCTGGTCCTAGCGGGCTTTACCCTGCACTTCCTGGGTACTGAGCACCTGGTCCTAGCGGGCTTTATCCTGAACCTCCTGCACTGAGCACCTGGTCCTAGCGGGCTTTACCCTGCACTTCCTGGGCACTCAGCACCTGGTCCTAGCGGGCTTTACCCTGCACTTCCTGCGTACAGAGCACCTGGTCCTAGCGAGCTTTACCCTGCACTTCCTGGGCACTGAGCACCTAGTCCTAAGGGCCGTGGGTTTTTGACTGCTTGCAATATCTAAAACGTCATTTGTCAGCCAGGATGAGCCGAACCACAGCCTAAGGGACATGTCGGGCCCAAGCAACCTAGAATGCCAGAAACTGCTCTGTGAGGGAACAGGAGGGCTTAGACTGCATCTGTTGAGGGCCGAATCGCAGTAAAGTGCTTAGCCCAGCCTGCAGTGTTGTGTTTCAGGCGTCTGGGTCCCATGTGACAGCCCCCAGCTTCCAGGCCCAGGCCCTGGCTTCTGAACTGAAAGCTGCGATTTATGCATTTGCTCCAAATCCGGAGAGGAACAGGGAGGAGAAACAACCGCACTGTGTCATTCCCTACCCGGTGGTGCCTCCTTTCTCTTGTGAGTGCATGTGCTCTACAGCAGACTGGAAGCCTGGGGGGACAGAACGCCATCATTCCACAAGAATTATCTTTTCCCTCATTACTTTGAAATAATTTGATTCATAGGAAAGACCGAGTCCAGAGTGCCAGAGCTGAAAACCCACTTTTTCCTAAAAGTGACTTCCTGTTGAAGTTCAGGACATCATCAACCATAATGTGCCCCTGTGGTATACTATTTCCACTTAAACCTTGAAAAACAGCAGATGAGAAGAGAAAGCATTGTTTTTCTGGAAAGCATGAGTTGAAATTCCTTTGAGTGCCCCTGGGGCTTCAATTCCCTCTTGTGAAGGCTGCCAACCACAGGGAGCTTGCCCACCTCGCTGGCCTTGCCTGACTGTATATACCACACACCTCTCCTCTCCTGGGAACGGCACCCTCTCATCACCTCCAGTAGCTTCACTGGTAATATGCTACCAAGTGGAACCACGTGGGGCAGGCTGAGATTGGTCTTGCTCACAGAGCTATGAGGTCGAGCCAGGTGGTGGCATTGGACAGGGACCTCCCCTTAGTGCTGAGAACCCACTGTGGTTTGCGTATCACCAGACAGTGGAAGGACGTTGAAGTTGCTTCCACCTTAGAGCAGTGGCAACGCAAGTGGTGACAAGCTAGTGTGTAGGGGGCTTTTCCCTTCCCTCTTCCCTCAGGTGGATGGACGTCTGCTTTCCATTCCTTAGACTCCACCTGACAACCCAGTTTGTCTTCAGTAACGTGGAAATAGTGTCATAGCCACAACAATTAACCCAACCTTTTTCTGGGTTCTGCAGCTCAGAATAACCTAAGTCTTTCCAGGTTCTGGGGTCCTGTCCTGGGACTTGATCTCAGGGCCTAGGTCAGCGGTACAGCTCTTCCACGTGGACCATGGAGGTGGCTCTGAAAAGAGCCTTTGGTTTCTGGTCCCTGTCCCAGTAGAGCAGTTTATGCCCTCTCCCCACGGATGCGGCGCGCCAGCTGGATGTCCTTGGGCATGATGGTGACGCGCTTGGCGTGGATGGCGCACAGGTTGGTGTCCTCGAACAGCCCCACCAGGTAGGCCTCGCACGCCTCCTGCAGCGCCATGACGGCCGAGCTCTGGAAGCGCAGGTCGGTCTTGAAGTCCTGCGCGATCTCGCGCACCAGGCGCTGGAACGGCAGCCTTGGGGTCAGCCACTCGGGGGGCGTTTCGGTGGGTAGCGGTGCGGCTTCTTCACGCCGCCCGTGGCCGGGGCGCTCTTGCGGGCAGCCTTGGTGGCCAGCTGCTTGCGCGGGGCCTTGCCGCCGGTGGACTTGCGTGCTGTCTGCTTCGTGCGGGCCATTTGTGCTCAGTAGCTGGTCTCAATCGGTCTAAAGGCTGTTCTCGCTCCTATTTATAAAGGGAAAGCCGTTCTGATTGGTCCTTGTCTTTAAATTACGCGCCCTGAATTGAGACTAAAGACTATGGTCTCTTTGATTGGCTGTGAGGTTTCACTTTGGAGAAAACCTCACAGCCAATAAGCCTTCACCTACCAAAGACGTACGGGACTGTCCCTTCTTTTCCACTTTTCCGCCTTGCACAACTTCTGCACCTCTAAATTTTCTCTGATGTGATTTTATTTTAACGCACTTATTTGGGATTAGGTTTGGGGAGACGCGGAAAAGACAGTCCCGTAGTTGACGAGCTTGTTTCAAAAAGACCGCCTTTCAACGTGATTGGTCCAACCCAGTGTCGTTCTTAATCTGTTACTAGTCCTTTCACTTTGAAGAAGTGCTTCAGCAATGAAAGCGTTTCGGTTTGTAATTCGGAACCTTCCAAAAGGTTCAAGCATCACTCCGACATTCCCTCCCGGAGAACGTTAACATGGCGCAGTTGAAATGTAGCGACCGTTTGCTACTTGGCAAAGCAGACCGAGGTGGGCACACTATTCCAGGAAGAGACTTCCTAGTGTTAAAACCGGAAGCTACAACTTGGCAAGTATCAAGTTTATTCCTGTTTAGATCGGTATCTAAGGAGACTCTACCCAAGAGTCCCGTTGCCAAGACGTACTACTAACATTACTTTTGTGACTTTTGAAATTAACTTTTTTCCCAAATGTTAGTAAAAAAAAGAACACAGTAAGCTCGTCTTACATAAATAACCAATCAAAGAATGTATTTAAATTAAACTGTTGCATATCACCTTGCTATTGGCTAATTTGGTCCAATCAGAGGCAGAAAAAGTTAATCCTCTATTTGCATAGTAGACCTACAAAGGTATGTCAGCCCGAAAGGTAGGCGTTCATTCTTGCGTTTAATTTGCAGCTGGACGTTGCGAAATGCCTGAGCCAGCGAAGTCGGCGCCGGCCCCGAAGAAGGGCTCCAAGAAGGCGGTGACCAAGGCGCAGAAGAAGGACGGCAAGAAGCGCAAGCGCAGCCGCAAGGAGAGCTACTCGGTGTACGTGTACAAGGTGCTCAAGCAGGTGCACCCCGACACGGGCATCTCGTCCAAGGCCATGGGCATCATGAACTCGTTCGTCAACGACATCTTCGAGCGCATCGCGGGCGAGGCGTCGCGCCTGGCGCACTACAACAAGCGCTCGACCATCACGTCGCGGGAGATCCAGACGGCCGTCCGCCTGCTGCTGCCCGGGGAGCTGGCCAAGCACGCCGTGTCCGAGGGCACCAAGGCCGTCACCAAGTACACCAGCGCCAAGTAAATTTTCAAGTAAGCGACTTTATATTTAACCCCAAAGGCTCTTTTCAGAGCCACTGCACAATCTCAAAATAGGAGCTGTCATGCGGAATGTTATTTTTCCCCAATTCATACTTATTTTTCTGCCTTTGCTCTTATTTACTGAATTTAATTTGGGTAAGAACAGAGCAGAGAAGTGGTCAGCCTTGAAGTTCAGGGAGTTACATAGACAAGAAGGTATTCAAGAACTTAAAGGGGCACGGCCAGCGCTTACACTGGGTTGGAGCCAGTAACTGGGGAGGGAGTATTGGAGTTTGGTGTCAATTTTAGCCAGTTCTGAAGTGCAGAGCAGCTGTGTTTATTTTTGTAGATTTTTGCCTTAGGGCACACCTGCTCGCCTTTCCAGCATGGAGGACGCCTAAAAATCCTCACTTTCCTGTTAAAACTTCCCTTTTCCTATTTTACAAATGTTTATGGTTTTTAATTTTGCATCTATGGGTGCGTCTCTAATTTTAGAGATCTGGCCCTAAAAAAAAAAAAACCGAGGATTTTATACAATGCAACTCAGCTCTCAGTTCTCCCATCCCTTATTTCCTACATAACTAGGGGAGGCTCTTGGCAGGAGCCTCCACCCTAGGTGCCGTTACTGCAAGGTCCGCTGACCCAGGAAGGAGCAAATAAAGGCGAGTACTGGGTAGGTGGTTCGACTCCCACGCAATGTGTCAGGAATGCTCACCCCCCCCCCAGCTTCCCTGCCTGTCAGTCACACAGCCCTCTCCCAGAATAACTTGATTACCCTGTAAAAGAAACCTGCTCCAGCCTGGAGGAGTCACTCCTTTCTCTCAATTATCTCCTTTTCTCTCCATTCGATGTCTCCTGAGTCTTACTCTGGATCAGACAGACATTTTTTGGGACCTCCTCTCCTATGTTTAATGTGGGTCTCTTCTGTTATTTTCAACATTCTCAAATAGAGTCCACTATTGAATCCTCCTGGAGGACCAACCGCGAGCTGTCCACCGCTGGGTGGAGCGAGACTGGTTGATGTTAACATCACTTGTAATAGGGAGCGGAAGCGTTCGGTCGGTAAGCCAGAAGTCTGTTACAGAAAGACAGTATTGGAACCTCCAGACGAGCAGCCAGTGAGACAGGTCACTCAGAATGAGCAGAGCCTGCATAGGAGACACCGAGACAGACAGCGTGGAGCCCCGTGAAGCACTGGGCATCCGGGATGCCCCAACATTTACGGGACTCTCATGCTCACCCGCGGTGGGCGCCACTGTGGCTGCAGGGTGTGCTCCACAGAATTAATGCTGAGACCCTTCCTACCACAACTCCTGCTGTCAAAAATGACCTTCCTGGGGGAACCAGCAGTTAGCGTAATGGCTATGTCGCTGGACTCCCACACAGGCTTGGAGTCCTGGGCCCAGAGGCTTGAGACTCATGCCAGGCACATGGTCATGGGCGACCAAGATCCCGAGAGGAAAATGAAGAAGAGATTGTGGTGTGGCGTCTCCCTGGAGGGCAATTTCTCACTTTCCCTCTCACTGTCTCTGTCTCTCTCCACAGGAGCACACTCACCCTAAAACAAAAACCTAAAAAAAAACAAGTCCCTCTCTGTAGGAAACATGCACGGGGTGGGGCCGGAGCTGACTTACAGGACTCAGAACACGGCAGCCGAGGAGTCCGGCAGCGCACCTGTCTCAGCACACACCGTCGGGGGTGAGCTTGCCAATTTTTCCCCCTTGTTTCTTTCCCTTCTTCATGTTTTAAATGAAGTCAATAAAACCAAGAAAGCCATGGGACTCGGGAGACTGAAGATGGTTGGAGACTGTCTGTCCATGACCTCAGAAATGGCCTGCTTGGGCGGGACTTGTTACCCTGGCTTACGTCCCTAGTCTATTGTTTTCTCTCATTTTTGTTTTCGCTTTGGGTTTTTGCCAGGGAGTGCATATGCTTGCCAGAGACAGAGAGAGGGAAAGTGAGAAATCGTCCGGGGGCGGGGGATGGTCACACTGCAATCCCTTCTCCATGCTCTCAGAATTTGGGGCACACATGCACCCATTTCCAGCATGACATTCACACTGCTGGATCAGGGACTCAAACCATGGTTGGCCACGCGGGAGTCCTGCACCTTACCTATGAGACCACCATTTGGCCCTTCCGTCATTCTTTTTTTTTTAAGAATTATTTAGTGGACGAATATGGAAGATCTGTTGCTGAGTGAAGCAAGTCAGGCTACGAAAGAGAGACATTGCATGTCTCCCCTGAACGTATACGACTGTCCACACTCGATGGCAGGGACGGAAAGACTGGAGGACACACGAGCATTACACATTGCTGTGGACACTAGAGCCAAAAGTGGAAAGGGTGTGGGAGGGGAAACGCGCAGGAAAGGAAATTTGGGAAAAAATAGAGAGGTGAGACATTGTGGGACACAGGCGTGGTTTATTATCTGTTGATGAGGACGTGCATATTCTCTACGGGGCTGGACTGCTGTGTAAAGACTTTACGATCTAAAAAACAATTTATTTTGTTAAACTTCACTTATTAAAATTTGACCAGAGAGGGAGAGAGACAGAGAGAGAGAAAGCGAGAAAGCCAGCCATCACGGGTCAGACGTGGGAGTGCAGTGCCCTTAGCCACCATGCCACCTGCCAGCCCTCCCCGTCTGCCACTCTCAATGTGCCCTTTCCTCACGGCAGGCTGCTTCCCCCTCCAGTTCCAGCTACTGTGCACATTCTACGCTGAGGGAAGGAGAGAAGGGCGAGGAAAGAAACACCCCGTGTGCGCGTCGGGGCTGGAGGACTTCAGAGCTCTTTGCCATCAAACGGACAGCGCAGGGAGTCAGCAAGGGCAGGGAGGGCCTTCCTCGGAGCTCGCTCGTCTGCCTACAGCGGAATCCATGGAAAGGAGCTCAGAGGTCATGCATCCCATCAGCCAGGAGCAACTGAGTCACAGGAGAGGAGGCAAGGCCACCACACCCAGGCCCCCAGGAGCTGCCCACATCCCTCTAGGGGGGCGTATCTGCCCATCCTCTCTCACGTCACGGCCCCGCACGTGGGGTGGTGAGTCGGTACGCCTCTCCTGGTAATCCGCTGAGAGGCTTGGGGGTGATGCTGACGTGGGGGTGCTGGATGACCAGACCTAACGCTGCGGCTCCTGTCCCATGTTCATGGAGAATTAGAGGCGTAGACACAGACAGGAGACAAAGCAGGGTTTATTAGGGAAGGGGGCCCCACGGGTTGCTGAAAAGGAGATGGAGGCAAGGGGTTTTACCTAGCAGGCTGGTGAGGGCTGGCTTCTGATACGGAGTGGGCTAGCTAACAGCTACGTGACCATCTCAGTGAGGTGCTACCCCATTCTTGATGGGATGAGCAAACCACAGTGTCTGTAGTTCTTGCTAGAACAGTCACGGAACAGAAACTTAGGGAACCCAGCACAGCCAGCTTTGGGCTGGGTGACTCCATCCTGAACTCTCACCCTGTCCGTGTCCTCGAGACCCCTATGTCCTGCTTTATTAGCAAGGAGTCATAAATTCTTTGGAGACGTGTAAAATTAACTAGGCCATAGAGGGAACATGGAGACATCATTAAACAGGGAAACACAGTGGCAACTTCCTGTCAGGGCCCTCACTCCATCCACCTGCACATGGGGCCAACGTCCACCTTAATACCCCAAGAGGGGCCTCAGCAGCCGACTCAGCACCTCCTGGCCTCCTCACACCTTCCCAGCCTACACGTCCATCGCTCCTCCAGCGCTGCCCTCTCCTGCCCACCTGCCTGCCCCTGGCCCCAGAGCCTCCCACGTGCAGATCCCCGCCTCACTCCAAGGTGCTGGTTTTTGGAGCAGACCCCAGAGGAGAGCCGATATGCTGCCCATGCCTAGGACATGAAACGTTGTCCCAAGGTAGGAGGACATGCACGATTGGCCAACAGCCATGGCTATGCTGGTGACCAGAGCGCTCTGAGGCCCCTTCCCAGCTGACAGCTGTTCCTTCACTGACACTGAAGGACGCCTTGTCTGGAAGGCAGAGATCAAAGAGCAGCGATATTTTCACAGTGACAAATGTGACTTCCCAACCACGGCAGAATCGGGCCTAGCATGGAATCCTGACTCCAATGTCAGCACCCGTTACCACCAGGAGAGAGCCCCGGGATTCCACCAACCAATTTTAGGAGCTAGGTAGGTTTCCTAGAAAGGGAGGTTGAGCAAGAGAGGGTATCTTAAGGGAGAGACAGCTGACGCTACCTCCTGGGCAGCACTTCCACACAACCCCTGAACGCCTGTGGGGAGAGAGACTTCCTCCTGGCCCACCTCCCTTCCCAGCCTCCCTTAGAGATGGAGGGGGCCCTTCGGCCGATTCCCCGCTGATGGGATATAAATGACACTAACACTGTCACGCCCAGGACATGTAACCTCTCCTAAGGTTTCTATTCTCTTTCCCTTTCTAGAGCCTAGGGGCAAAGGAATTCACACTGGGGCTGAGAACTGCTGACAGTCGGCAGATGAGAAAAAAGGCGTGTGTAAAGGTCTATTTCATACACGGGAGTCCTAGAAAAGCATGAGCTCTAAGGATGGCCAGATGGCTGTGGCTTCACACCCCGTTGCAGAAAACTAGACACCTAGGAAGAGAGATTAGGAGAACTGCTTATTACATGGGCAGGCACAGAGGCGTTAACACTCTGAATTTCTGGCCCCCACTGTGGGGTTGGACACAGTCTTTCATGGGAGAATTGGGGAAGGGGCTCAGAACCCACCCTATGCAGCCTCGAAGGGAGGAGACAGAAAAGCAAAGAGTCTAATCTGTTCAAGGTACTATCTATCCAGGGTACTAATCTATTGAAGGTACTAATCTGTCAAAGGTACTAATCTATTCAAGGTTTTCAGGTTACCCTGTATCTCCAGGGAGGGGCAGTAATTTTGCCGGACCCTGAGTTATTCATAAATTCAGAGTCCTCCCATATCAACCCCTTCAGGTGGGGTATCGTTTCTGAGCCCCCACACCCTAACCCAAGAGCCCTTACGTGCTTGGGCACCACCATCTCCTGTGGGCCCTGTGCATCTCCGCCACTCAGGACCTCAGCGTTCTAGCTCTCTGCTCCCTGAACACAGCCATGTGACTTGCACCCTCACTCTAAGCGCTTTGTGAAACACCATCCGCGGTGGGGTCTTCACTGGTACCTGACCTACACTTGAGCTCCCATCACCTGCCTTCTTACAGAAGGAACTTCCTTCTCTGGCTTACTTCCTGTCCACCTGAGGCAAACGTAAATCCGAGAGCTAGTGTTTTGTCCATGTTGTTCTCAGCTGTATTTCCAACATGAACTCCAGCATCTGCAGTACTGTGACTACTCAACACACATTTGCAGAATGAATAAATAAATTATAAAATTCATCGAAGTTGGGGCCAGGTGGCGCTGGACTCCCACATGGTCAACCACAGTTAGAGTCCTGGACCTAATGGCTTGATTTCTTACTCCTCCCAACTCTTCAAATTCAAGAATAATATTGATAATAAAAAATAAATACTTCTTTTAAAAAAAACTCCGCAACGTTAAATGTCGCTTGCTGTGGAAGAATGACACCATCCTTGGATTTGTAAATGGTAGATGTTTGTTGAAATCATGAGTGACACATGATACCCTGCCTTGCTCTGTGACAACCAGTGAGTGGACGGAGTGGGATGAAGTGACATAAATGGAGCAGTGGGCCGAAGTCGGCACCGAAGTAGATGAGACGTGCGTAGCTGCTGCTAAGCTTCTGATCGCTCCACACTTTCTAAGCAGTAATTATCAGCACATAATAAAAATGTTTTAAATTAAAGCAATATCTGTAACGAAATGGTGAACTGCTAGTGACGGTGCTAGGGCAGGACCAGCTAGCTGCTCGAGTCTCAGACCTGGCGCCGCTCCACAGGGACAAGGCTCCCGGTAAACAGAAGGGGTCTTGCTGGTGTGCCGCAGGGCCTAGGAGGTCTGTCCCTCCCTGTAGCATCTGTGAAAACCAGATACTGCCTGTCCCCAAAGCAGCCCCAAGACCGATCTCACCCTCAGAACTGCTAGTGCAGCTCCTGGCAATGAGGTCCAGACATGGGCCAGGAAGTTCTTCCTGAAGGCAAACTGCGAGTAACCCTGATGCGGGCACAGAACCCTCGCTGGGCCTGGCAGCCACACCCAAGACTGGAATTGGTGGTGTCTCAGCTGCCTGTTGGACGGGACAGTCTGGCTTTCGTCCATTACTATGGTCTGAGCCCACTGTCCAGACTCCAGTCAAAACCCTGATGGGGTCCCAGGCAGTTCTAACAGCTCCCTCAAGTGACTAGTGTCCACTGAGAGCTGACTTACTGGTTACTATGGGGGCTCCTGTGTGCACTTCCTGCAGAAAACATGGTTTTATTCTATGATTAAACAGTTTATGGAAGCTCACTCCTGGCAACTAGCCAGGCAGCTTTCCAGCCGAGGCAGACTAGTAAACTGGCTGGACCTGTTCGAGGTCACCTGAGGCCACCTGTGTACAATGCCCACGGGCCTGGCCCTCCATTTCTAAAGCTCCCTGGTCTCACCCTTACTTACCAGGGATAACCAAATACCAAGTGCAGAAGCCTGCAGGGCTCCACTTGGGGTCCTGGCCAAGTAAAAGCACTAGAAATCATTTTGAAATAATAATTTAAAAAAAAAAAATCAGCTTAGTTTTTCTCCCCAGAAAACCCACGGAAAGTTTTCAGCTGGAAATTGAGCAAACAAGCTGGAGTTGACCTAAAGGCCTCAGAAACCAAGCAGCCTCCATTTCCCATCTGCACAACACCAAGACCTTGAGTGCACGGTACATTCTTGGCAGATCCAAACCTCCATATCAAATACCTCCCAGCTACCTATGCCCAGAGGAGAATCCAAACATTC